CCATCTTAAATGGACATTTTAATGATACTCCTTTTTATTTTCTTTTAGAAAATTTCTTCATGGAGTCCATCATAGGGTCAGTTCTTGGAAGGGTAGGGGAATATGTAGATTGTCAGAAAAACTTCCAAAATGATGTGGATGATCTTAGAAAAAGAGTGGCAGATCTAAAACGCAAAAGAAATGATAAAGTAGCAGAACTACAAATAGTGGATGATTTGGAGAAACAGGTTAAAGAAGAAGTGCAAGGATGGCTTGAAGATGCAAGGAGGGTCACTGAAATTGAAATGCCAGATATTGAAGAAAAGGTGCAGAATGTTTCATACTTGTTGCGTGGTAGCCTTGGAAGATGTGTTCGTCAAAAGATTCAAGAGGTGAGGGAAATTTATGATCGAGGTAGCTTCCCTGAAGGTCTTGTAATTGAAAGGCCTCCGCCTATTGGAATCACTTTGCCAACAGAGAATATGGTGGGCGAGGTTGATGTGAAGGAAAAAATTTGGGAATACCTGAGGAGTCGTGAAGTTGGAATGATTGGAGTTTGTGGAATTGGTGGAGTCGGCAAAACCACTGTTATGAAACACATCCATAATGAATTACTGAAAGAATCTATCGGGTTTACAAAGATTATCTGGGTCACAGTATCACAGTCACTCAGTGTTGTAAAATTACAAGGTGATATTGCTAGAGAAATGAACAAAAGTCTTCCGAAAGGCAGGGATGAATTGAAGCGGGCATCCAGATTGAAGGACATTATGGAAACAGTGAAATATGCATTGATCTTAGATGATGTGTGGGATAAATTTGATCTTCAAAGAGTTGGAATACCAGAACCAACAACAGAAAATGGGTGCAAAATTGTTATTACTAGTAGATCAGTTGATGTATGCAACTTCTTGGGATGTCAGATAGTGAAGGTGCCTCCTCTTCCACAGGAAGAGTCTTTGAACTTGTTTTTAGATAAGGTTGGACACGACATTCTACTAATTCCTAATTTGGAAAAGATTTTGAAGGATATGGTGGCAGAATGCGCTGGTTTGCCATTGGCCATTGTCGTCATTGCTGGGAGCATGAAAGGTGTAACACTTATTCGTCAGTGGAGAAGTGCATTACGTCAATTGCATCAGTGTGTGTTGGATACAGAGAAAGATTCAGAAGATCAGATATTTCAACGCTTGAAGTTCAGTTATGACCGTCTACCAAATTCAAGCATCCAAGAATGTTTATTATATTGCTCATTGTATTCGGAAGATTGGGTGTTTCAAAGAGAAGATCTAATTGAAGACTGGATTTGTGCGGGACTTGTTGAAAAATCAGGGAGCAGAAGAGAAATGCATGATAGAGGACATGAAATTTTAAGTAAGCTTGAAAACAATTGTCTGTTAGAGGAAGGCAGTGACGGATATGAAGACGGTGTTAAGATGCATGATGTTGTGAGGGACATGGCATTGCGTGTTAAGAGCACCGGTCCAAGTAAGTTCATGGTGAAAGCTAAAGTGAGATTGACAGAGATACCAGAGAAGGATAAATGGACTGAAGATCTAGACAAGGTTTCCCTAATGGAAAATGAAATATCATATATCCCTATAAATATGTTCCCCAAATGCTTGATGCTCTCAACCTTAATTTTGAAGCGTAACGTAAAATTGAAGCAAATTCCAGAGTGTTTTCTAGCAAACATGCCCCTACTGAAGTTTCTTGATCTTTCTTATACTGGCATTGAGGCTCTACCTAATTCCATATGTAGCTTAAAAAATCTTACAACACTGATTCTCTGTGAATGTCGGAGATTAGAACGCATGCCTTCCTTGTCAAAGCTTAAAGCACTGAAGAAGTTGGAATTGGATGGAGCAGGCCTTCGTGAGGCTCCTGAAGGCATTGAAATGTTAGAAAATCTAGAATATCTTGATTTATCTGCTCCAAAGCTGAAGGTAATACCAAGAGGAAAAATCAGTAAGCTCTCTCGCCTCCAATACCTACGTAAAATTCCGATTTTTTCAACTGATATAAGAGCAGAAGAAGTAGCAAGATTGAACATGCTGGAATGTTTTGATGGTATATTTGATCAACTGAAGGACCTCAGCAGTTTTGTTAGCAAGTTGAATCATTTTGGAAGACCCAATAATTACTGGTTACGTGGGGGAGTGGACCATGACGACGAAGGGGTGGTGGGGGGGTATTTTGGGGAATTCAACAACGATGATCCTTTCAGAAAGGTTGCTTTATCCGACTGCAAGATAGGATATGAAGATGAGTTGGTGCTTCCAGATGACCTTCGGACTTTGTGGATTGAAGGCTGCAATACGGTCGCTGATATTTCTATTTTTCTGAGAAATTTGACTCAATTGCAAACATATGACTTGTACAGATGCCAAGGGATAGAGTGTGTGGTCTCCTCCTCGTCATCTTCATCTTCTTCCTTGACAGCTATGAATAACCTTGAAAAGCTAGGTCTTTACCATTTGGTTAGCTTGCGGGACATTGTGAAAGTAGAAAAAACAACAGCGTCGCTTGCACCGACAATATCCCCTCACATCTTTTCCAATCTTAAACTCCTGATAGTAACGGATTGTGGTCCAAACTTGAAGAAGCTGTTTCCATGTGAGTTGCTGCAAGGTCAAGGCCTCCAAAACTTGGAGAAGATTATAGTCGAAGCTTGTGAGGGGATGGAGGAAATAATAGGGTGGGAAGAAGAAGAGGTAGGAAATCAAACAACTACTCCAATATTGATCTCTCTTCCAAAATTAAGGTTATTGGGGTTGCAACACCTACCAAAATTGAAGAGAATCTACCCCGAAGGAGGAGTAATGGCTTGTGATTCTCTCAATTCCATTCATATAACCAACTGCCCTAAGGTCAAGAGGATTCCAGTCTGTCTTGGAAGGGAAAACGGGCAACCATCTCTTGCTGCTATGAAAGATATCTCTATTTATAATCCAAACAAATGGTGGGAATCGTTGGAGTGGGAGAATCCTGACGATGAGTATGTCCTCCTACCTTTCATCAAATATTCTGGGTAAGTCTCATTACTCTCCCTTTTTTCCATCACTTGCATTCCATTCCTTCTCTCTCACTGGTATTTCATAAATAAATGTTTCTATCTCTTGTTTTTGAATGAATCCAAGTGTTAATCTCCGTTGATTTGCTTAATAATCTAATCTTGATTGATTTGCTCCTAAGATGTCTATCTCGCTAATACCATTTTTGATTACTCACACAGCGACGGTGATAACACTTGGGTAAATATTCAATATAGCTGTGTCGACCCGTAACAATTATTTAATGGCAGTTTCTAATGCCCAGCCCATCTCAGCTCAGGTATATATGTCTGTTGATTTGCTTCTGATGAGATTTCCATCTCCCTTAATTGGATGCTAATTCCTTTTTAAATTATTCATTCATAGCGAGCAAGCTTTCCTGAGTCATCCATTCAATATCAATCAGGTATATATTTTTATGTTTTCAGGAACATGTTTTCTTTTTCCTTTCCTTTTGCTGACTATTATTTGCATCCTTAGAATTAAGTGATTTCTCCATACATGTTGATGCAGGCTGCATATCTACCATCTCATACCTATTTCTTCAACTCAGCAACATTTATACCAATGCAAGACAAAAACTGGGATTCACAAATCACACTCACATGAATGCAATGCCATCTCTGTTGTAATTTGCTGTTTAGTGTTGTGGATGAACTTCATTTAATTAGAGCTTTTTATTGTTTCTTTAAATAATTTGTTTTACTTTGTTGTAATAAGCTCTAAAACAGATTTGACAAACTTTATGTTTAATGTATGTGACTGTTTACTATCACACTCAACATCTTAATTTCTTTAATCACGTTATTTTTCCAATACTTACATTTGCCATAGCAGGCCAAAGGTATGTATGAATTTCTCTCCTATTTCATCTATCAATTTAGTTAAACACTCCCGTGGCTAACTTGACCACCTGAGGGCTTGAGGGTCCCTCTGTGAAAGCCCTCCACTGCTGTCTTTCTCCTGCCTTCTAATTTTCTCCAGCCAAGACAAATCATATTTGGAAATCAACTACTATTATTTTTCAAGTCCAAAAAATTACGTGGCTTGAAATTGATTGTGCTTCCTTCCTTGCCATCTGTCCCTACATTGGTAATTAGTCAATTCTACTTTTCTCATCCAATATTAAGTGGTTTTAGAATCTATTTTGAAGGATTTGATATTGTCTTCAACTGATTTTGTGGTTTTTATTTGTTTATCCAAACATCAGGAACTATGTTTTTCCCTTATCAGGGATCCTATTGAACCTGAAGCCATCTGTGTTTGATGACAAGAGATATACATGTTGCAGCAGCCAACAGGGCGCAAAACTTTCTTTTATATTTATACTGCTTCTCTGAAGCTGAGTCTTGGCCATCCAAGCAGTACCTTGGCGTCTGGCTTAATGGAGGTTATGTGAATGGATATATGAGTTGGTATAATTGGCTTATTCATGTTTCTAATACTCTTGAGTATGACATAATTGTATCACTATCTTTTAGTTGTTAAAGGACCTAGCTGTCCATCAACAGAGGAGCTGAAAAAAAGGACCTAGTTGTATCGTGGATAATTCATGATTATGCTCTCTGAAACTTTCTTTTATCGAGAAGGCCACTATGTACCACAACTTGCAGAACTATCAATCTCAAAGGTTTTATTTGTAAGTATTCACCCATATTTATGTCGCAACAATCAACGAAATTAGACTGCAAATCTTTATGTTTTCTCATTTCAGGCATATGTGAATTTGATGATATACAGGTTGTAGGTGGGTCATTTGGAAACCTTTGAATATTTTTTTAACATTGCTCTGCTAGAATTACTTTTGGACACATTCTGTCTGCGATACTGTACCAGACCAGCTCTACCTCAAAGCCAAACGAGTGTGTGTATGACTTCAAATTAGCTAGTTGGTCTGAAAGAGTAGAGGAATGCCATGAACAAAGTCATTGATTATGGTGTTGAGAGATTGACATTTATGGCCTGTCCCCCCCCTCCCACAAAGAGCCTCATTAGCAGCATCTCTTCAATGGCCAAGGTGTTGAATTGCTTTAGAAGGTGATTATCAACATATATCTAGTAGCTCTAGAAATGAGCTCTCTAGGGATCAATTATGATTTTTGTTTTTTGAAAACGAGGTATATAGTTCCGTCTTGTAGGTCAAATGTTATTATGGATTACGAATGATGAGATTTATGAGAATCCGTGGAGTTTGGACCCCTGTTACTCAATGTACACAAAACAAACGTACAGTAGGGAAAATGTTCAATCTCCTTGTAAATGTCAGAGAAGGAAAGTGGAAGGCAACTGCAAGTCTGCAAGGAAGCGTCCTCAATCGAACTTTCACATGGTACTTGCTGTTCTTGTTCATTTTTTGTTCATAGTTTGCATGTTTTTCTTTTCCAGTGATTCCATCTTGATATATGCCACATAATTACAATGTTTCTTCAATCCTTCATATGGATTCATATGTAAATAATTAAACTTTTATGCTCCATTATTTTTTGCACTTATCCAATGCTTCCCTGCTTAAATCAGAGGTACCTTGGACAAATTAAATTATCACCTAGCATCATTTTTTTTTTTCCTTCTTGTATCAGAATGGGATGGTTGCTGTGACCAAGCCAAGATAGAGGTTCAAATCAGGAGATTTAAGCATCTTCAGGCTTGCATTAGGACTTAATTGGGAGACACACATCCTGTCATTTTGTTTAGTTGCCATTACATAGTGGATTGAACATTAAAAAATTGTTGATACTGTTTTGTGTTGTTGAATTAAGAGGCTTGAATGCTGCTGTTGAAAATAAAATCACTATTGTTTTGAAGTCATCCGATCCTTTTTATTGCTTCATCGTGCTGGTGAGGACTAACTGGCATGCACCAATACCACGTTACTGAATTTTTGGATGGACCAAGAAGGGATTGGTTTGTCTTAAAGCTGGGACAAGGGAGATATTGTTTGTGCCGTTACTGAATTGATTTATTTCAAGTTTCAATTGCTGAAATTAGTTTTGCAAACTGCTGCATCGGTTGCGTTGGCCTTGTGAGCTGTGACTTGTTTTTAGATTCATGATTGTCTGGACTGATTAGGATTGATTAGGGGTTTTTCTATCATGTGACATAAATATTTTTTAAAAAAATGATTTAAGTATAATTTTACATTTTATTTAAATGATTAGTTATTTTTATTCATTTGAAACTTGTAATATTGAGTTAATTCGCTTATTTAATAATATAAAAATTATACCAAAAAAAAATTCTAAAAAAGTGTTATTTTACTCATTTGAAAAAATTACAATCATTATTTATTCAAAATATAAGATGAAATAAATTATTTAAAACAGATATGTGTAAAAATTAAGATTCGAAAGTTCAATTAAGAGTAAAGTAAGGTATATTTGTATCTCACAATTCTCTCTGTAAAATGTGGTTAAATATGTTAAAATTGAGAGTTTTAATTCAACTTTTTTTATTCTTTAAGTCTTAATTAACTTTCAAAAGGAAAAGGATAAAATTATAATTTTTGAAAACCTTTGGACTCAATTGAACGAAATAGGAAACAAGCCAACCCTCCAAAATCACAACAAATTAAAAATTGAGAGATTAATTAAAGGAAATTCAAAAACATGGAGGATGAATTTGAAATAACTTAAAGTTTTAGGACGAAATTGCTTGACCACAGAAAGTTTTAGGCAAAATTGAAATATGCGGTGAAAACTAGTTGGCTTTCAAACCTTTGACAGTGATTAAATAAGGTTAAGGCTAATTAATCAAAATAATTGATTTAATTGAATGGTTAATTATTAATTCATTAAAATTAATTAAAATAATTAATTACTTTTATTCTAATAAAAGAAAAAATGAAGTCTTGACATTTTGAATATTTAATGCCTATAATTAAAACAGTTTGATTTTTCCTTTTTTATTAGAATAAATAAATGAATTTAATTACCTCAATTAAAACTAATTAATGTAATCAATTGGTTTTAATTAAAATTAATTAATCACCCTTTCAATCAATTATTAAGATTTTATATTACTTTTTTTTTTTTTAACATTTTATTGAGCCAATTACTTTTCATAGAGCCGACCCACAAGACTACTGCAGTCTTAATGGGCTAGGCCCAATTTCCCTTTTTGTGTTTTTCTTTTATTAAGATATTTAATTTAAAAGGCCCCTGGGCCATGGCCCATTTCATATCTATTTTTTTAGCCTTTTTTGGTCCTTAACACATAAATTTATTAGGTCGGGTCAACGCGACCCACAAACAGGATCCATATACCTAAACGGGTAAAAATAGATCAAAACCTAGATTGAAATTCGGAACTTAGGGTTTATACTGCTCGTCAAAATTTCACCAGAAAAAACCTTAAATAATTTCATCAATCCATTACCAGATCTATAACCTCAACAAAACAGAATGAAAATAAGGCAAGAACACACGCTCAATTCTCATTCACAATGACATCAATTCATATAGATCCATCCAAGCAACCCAAGAAATACAAAGAAAAGATCAAAATCACTGGCGGAGTTTGGAGCGGAAGATCAGAGTCCGATCTGGGATACCCTACCCACGGGATAGCCCCCAGATCCTTCTCCTCACTACCTCTTCATGATTCCTCTATTCCTCACTACCTCTCCATGATTCCTCTGCGCTCGAGTAGATCTTACTCGCACGACGCGCGCCGGGGAGGCATCCTTTTGGACATCAGATCCGCCATTCTTGTCATCATTTTTCAGTGCATCGGTTCTCCGGGATAAATTTTTGGAGGTTCAGCGCGGCTGTAGGTCAAGAGAAGGTTTTGAGAGCCAACCCATGAGAGTTGCTCGCACACCATTCTCTTGACCAATCACATAACGATCAAGATGTAGAACTTCGGATGAATAGGTACATTCAGGTAGTACCAAGATGAAAAATTGTTATCTCTTGTAAAGCAATTAAAAATTAATCAACCAAATTAAGAAAAAAAAAATAATACCCAAGCGGTGAAAAAAAATATCGAAAGGGCAAACCGTGAAAAAGAACTTAAAAGTCGTGCACACCAGCGAGGCGTTTACATACAAAACCGGTTAAACCGGTCAACAAGACGCCTATTGCCTCAAGTGATTAGTGCCCAAAAGTCAACACAGTCTTGCCCTTTT